AAAAAAAAAAAAAAAAAAAAAAAAAAAAAAAAAAAAAAAAAAAAAAAAGCTCTAAATAAGGCAATCGCGTTTTACATTAATTTTATTATTTACCGATCCTACCAACTGGGATATATAAATTGGGGAATAAAATCATATCGCATCATGCACAGACACCGGTGGTAATTAATTTCCACTATTCCCACAACAGGTGTACCACACACTAACCCAGTTGACATTAACCATACTCCAAACATTTCATCGAACTGTATTCTCTACTAGGAGTAAGAGTCAGTGAAATGCACAAGTGCACACAGAGCCTCGTGGTGACACACTTTTCCATGTAACAACAACTGGATTTGCCAGTGGCAAGAAAAGACCCATCTATTTTATTTTATTTTATTTTATTTTTTTTTTTTGCCCCCTCTCCTATCACAAGTGGTAATAATTATGGTGTTGCATTTTACAACGCGCATCACAGACGTTGTGACCTTTGCGCCAACGTTGCTACAACAATAGGGCAGCATGTGCTGGGAAAACCAGACGAACTATTTAAAGGGGGTTGTTACGTCAAGCAGAATGTGTGTTGTCCCTTGTTGATACTTTTTCCATAACACGAGAAACGCTCACCAGTGATGCAGCTGCCAACGTGGCATTATACATTGCCCCTTTTGGCAAATCATCCTTTCAATTGTTCGTCAACTGCTTAAAAAATTTAACCGCCAGTTGATGCAATAACTTTGCACAACACCCCGCATTACCACGTCGCTAAACCAGGTACTTACACCCAGCCGCAGGGGATTTTGCAGAGTTCGAAAAAAAAAAAAAAAAAAAAAATTAATTCAAATCATATTCATATCATATCACTTCATAACAAATGAAAGTAAACTAAGTTATGTTAAATTAAGTTTAACTGACATTGTGACGTTTGACTCTTCAAGGTGTGTATGCCCACTTCTACGCCAAAGGGAATGGTGGCAGTTTTGTTGAGAGAACCAATGGATGATAATAATAACCCTCTTTCTGCAAAAAAGCCAAAATAGGAACAAGTAAAAAAGTGCCACAAAATAGCAGCTTTTTTATTTTCCAACACATTTCACTGAAATGAATATGCCGCTTACAACAGAAGCTTAAACGAAATGATGAAACTTTCATAAAACAAAACTAATTTCTTATCTTCCTTTTATGTGTACATAAAAAAACATGCAGAACATCCCCCCACGTGGATTTTATGCAAGGGCTCCGTATTTTAAATGCGTATGTAGCTGCAGCATCAAAGCATTCATTTTTGTGTTGTCACACTGAGAAGAGCGGTGTTCTCTTCAAAACAAGGGAAGTGCTAACCTCGGATAAGAGTAGAACTTTCCTCCCAGTAGAAGAACATTACCCATTAATTGTACTTGTTCTGACGTAGCCCTTTGCTGCAGGACTTGTTTCCCTTCCCTGCCCTTTTTTTTTTTTTTTTTTTTTTTTTTGGACGACGTTTTCCCCCCCTACTGGTTTATCCCTCATTTTAGCCCAAAATGACCCTTCTCAAGCTAATATACGTAATAGTGATGCCGCTGGGCATAACACTCCTTTTGTCCTGCCTGCTGAAAATAAGATTCCTCGTAAGGTTCAGTTACTCATTTTGTCGCAAACAAATCGGAGACACACCGGTCAGAATCGTTTCTCTAATATTACTCCTAAACTTTATGCTCTTCATCACGGAATCGTATAAATTGAAATATGGTGTAAACAAAATGTATAACCCGAAGGAGGTCATACCAGGGCTGTCAGATGAGTACTACAAAATTTACAAATGGAGACATGAGCGGAACTGGTGGATTGGCCTCTCCAATTTGTGCATATGGTTAATGTTGTGGAGGTCCACGGGGATAATTAATAACTACGTTAAGTACTTGGAGAACAGGAAAATGCAGATGGCCCTTTTGTGAAGAGGGAGCAGCAGCTTCGGAGGGAAGAGCTATACGTGAAGAACCCCGCAGGGAAAAGTTGCCAACCGAGCGTTTTACCCCCGCTCCCGTCGCGGTAACACACTTTCGTTTTCTTTTCTCCCACTTCATTTGGAACACACACTGGTGCTTCTAACCAATGGGGCGCAAGCAAATGTTTATGTATCTCACGTTTTTCCTTCTTACATCCCTTTTATGCCATGTGTGTACCTGTCTTTCTCTTACCCTGTGCACATGCTACATTTTTTTTTTTTTTTTTTTTTTGTTAACCATACTACATGTTTGTCTGTGTGCACAGCTAGCCAAAATGGCAACAAATAAGGGAAATAATTTTTTTTTTTTTTTTTTTCCAATTTGGCGTATTAGTGGTAAATAATTTACAACGGTAGGAACCCCTGCATAACGTGAAACAGAAAAAAAAATGTGCACTGTGTTTCCCCTATTTGTACTTTTTCCTTTACACATTAATTTAACTTACGAGTTTGCAAAAGTTGTTCTGACTTCAAACTTGGTGAAGCGCCATGATTTACTTTCTGACCAGGTGATACAAAAAAAAATAACTTTTGTATGACCTAGTCAGGCAAAAAAAAAAAAAAAAAAAAAAAAAAAAAAAGACAAGAAAAAAGCTACTTTGCCAAACTGGCTCCACTGCTCGATCTACCCTACCACAAAATTTCGCATAATTTAAAAACCCCCCCAACGCGCAAAACACTAGGTGGATGAATAAAGTTCGAACGAGGGAAGTCGTGAACGGCGGCCTGCACAGCGATGGCGTGCAGGGTACAACGCAACACATAGCAATGTAGCACGGAGAAACGCTTGACCTCTCGCTCCCAACCAATGTCTCCCTTAAAATGTGCGCACGAGGAGGGGCGTGGCGAAAAAAAGGGGTGCAAAGTTTAACAAAAAAAAAAAAAAGACGGGTGTCAAAAAGGGCAATGTGACAACCCTGTAAAGGCGGAAAACGCTAAAACAACGATTGAGCACCTATCGGCCATTACTTCCGCTGCTCCGCTTCGGACGGGCGCATAGACAAATAAGGCGCGGAGTTAGGCGCCTTAGGATTAAAGTTGTAATTCTGGTACGGGAAAAACATGGGAGGTGCCAGAGCATCTGCTTTGTTATTTTTCTTCATAAAATTGACATTTCTGTTGTTTTGCCACCTGTTGTTGTTCCACCCCTGGGGGGCAGCCCCGGGGGGAAATCCTTCCCCTGGTAGGGGGGGCACAAATGGTGCAGCTCCCTTGGGCATTACTTCTTCCTGGAGAATAACCGTTAAGTTGGAGCCATTCAATTCGAGGCCATCTTTATACGCCTCTGCAGCCTTCTTTGCAGACTGCGCATTGGCGTACGAAATAAACATTTTTGAATCCTTAGGGATCATTTTAATTGATTTAATTTCACCAAATTTTTTAAAACAATCTTTAACATTGACCTGACTTACAGCTTCACTAATCCCATGAATACAAATATTGTTAGCCATAAATCGGTTATCTTCATTTTGCTTTTCATACCTTGTGAGAATTTTCTCAGCCAACACATCATTTTCTCCCGTATACCTACTTTTAATATTCTGATTGCTTAGCGATTTGTCCAAGTGTATTTCTTTGTGAAGATAAGGACATTCTGCTCCTCGATTACATTCATTTTTTCTCCAAAAGCTACAAACCCTTGCCATATTTCTTTTAAAATAAGGATCTCTCCTCCTCAGTTTTGACAAATCCATATTGCCTCGATTAATTTTGTCATACGTATTTGTATCAATATTTTTTTCTATTTGTTCCAAAAAAAAATTTCTATTTGTTTCATTTTCTGGCATGGACACAATACTCGTTTCGAGAAATTTGTCCCTGACTTGTACAGGTAAATTATATTGTAAATCAAATAAACATGTCTGGCATACATTTTTCACTTTTGCACACATGTTGCAGATAATTGTTTGTTTATATCTAGACTTCTGCCCTGGTTTCCACCTAAATAGCGTGAAGGGGTTATTACAAATTTTGCACTCTTTTCCATTTTCTTCTTTTATTAATCGAACGTATGGGTTTTCTCCCAGGCACGTTTCACAAAGGATGGGCAGTTCTGCGCCTTCTGCTCCTTGCTTCTTCACGTCTGCCCTAACGTTGTGTCCGTATCTGTCCATGTTGCTCCGAAATGTTTGTGGTAGCGGTCAGCCCGCGTATTGGACTTGGTTTGGCTTTTATAATTACACGCGTATGTCACCATAGGCGTACCTCAGGTAAGGGTCCTATAACGCTGTGCTGACTTGCGTCCCTCTATATATAACATGGCCACGTCGCTCCTCTCCCTGCATCGCGTTTTTCTTCTGGGCATAATCTGGAAGAGAGAAGGGGCGGCTCTGTTTGGGATTATATCGCACGTTGGTAATCAGCCATTCGTTTATGAAGAGCCTGGCCAAACAACTACATATGGCGATGTCCCGTAAAAAAAAAAAAGAGACTTCCTACATAGGGGGGTGGGCTACATAAAATGTTGTTATATGGCGTCAAGGATGTTCACGGCTTTCTAAGCGGGAACGTGCCTCTCCACCAATTAGTCGCTGGATCAGCCCTATATATCCACGCAATGTTCGATCACTACGTAATTAACAAAAAAATGAAGCGATCTCCCTTGGGCACGTTGGAGTAACAACCGCTCTGTCGCCTTGGCCCTCATATAAAGGATGGCAACACAACAAACCGCAGGGGCCGCAAACCGTTACGTTTATGTTTTGAAAAAGGAAAATTTATGAATTTGCAAAATGGGGGCCCACCGCATTTTTTGTTTAGCTTAAGCGGCACTGTTCAGGTGTTTCCTTTTCCTTTTTTTTTTTTTTTTTTTTTTTTTTTTTTTTTTTTTTTTTTTTTTTTTTTTTTTTTTTTTTTTGTTTCCCTTCTTCCTTTTCGCCGCGCTTCTCTTAGGGGCTGCTCCGACTCGGGGTGTTCCCTTTCCTTATGCGCCTTTTTTTCATTCCATTTTTTCACATGAGAAGTTTAACATAATATAGGGAAACAAAAAAAAAACGGAACTGACCAACGTCCAAATTTGAGGCATTTCACCAACAAATTCGAAATTAACAATTAAAAAAAAAAAAAATGAAACAAAATGACAAATTGATTTACGTGATGAGGTTAAATTTGCAAACAAATTAACAAACGAAGGGTTGCATTTTTTTTTGTGACACCTGTTTCTGTGTCCCTCCTCGCGCCCTCACAACATAGAAACACAAGAGGACATCAAAGGACCGCTACATGGACATCTGTTGGAAGACATTCCCCTCACGGTTGAAACCAACGTCCATTTTGAAGGTCACTCATTTTTTCCGCCACGCTGTACAAAATGGGATGTATGTCCCTATGCGTGGCTGTTCCTTCATTTCCCCGCAGAGTAAAACGGACGTGTTAGAAAGTGTGCATACGGAGCCACGCACAAACTAACAGACAACGCAAAAAAAAAAAAAAAAAAACTCCACACGGTGTACTCCATTCTGTCCTTGTTTATCCTCCAAAATGAATGTATACCGCCCTTACGTGTTCAGTTAAACGGATTAGCAACCCTGGGGAGGAATAAATGAATTAAAACAATATGTAGCCTGTTGTGGGGAAAAACGTGCAGATTGAGCCACCCCCTCCGCTTCCCCTAGCGCTTCCTAAAAATGGACTGCACCCAAATTCGCTTCATCTCCAAATTCCGTTTCCTGTTCTTAACGATCCTAGTGATGTACCTATTTTGCACTTCCTCGAAAAACCCATTTTCGCAAAAAAGGCTCCGCAGTTCCTCCGTTTTGAAGAAGTATACAAAGGTTTTATCCCCACGAACGTAAAAATTTTCGGAGATTTTTTTTTCCTTCTTGTTGGCAAATCTCACTTGTGCCAAATCGTACAGTCCGTAATCGCGTAGCAAAACATAGCCTCCTCTTTTTAAGTAATTGTACGAATGGTAAATAACATTCTTCATTTTCTCCGGTTGAACTGAGGACAAAACGTAAATGAGCAGAACAATGTCCACCGTCCCTACGTCACACACTTGGGTTAAATCTCCCTCGGGCGCTGTTATGTCCACTACGCACGTTTTGATTAAATTTCCCATTTTCTTATAACGCTTCTGTTCGAAAATGTCAGAGCTGGCGTCTTCCTCTTCGGAGTTGTCCTCGTTCTGGGTCACTTCATCTTCATTCGCCCGGTCGTTCTCCATTTCGTCCTCTACCTCGTTGCGAACCTCGTTACTTGCCTCTTCGCCCGCTTCTCCCTTCAACTGCTCATTCAACGTGACCACCCGGCTCCATGTCTCATTCAGCAGATTTATTGCATTTTTCGAAAAGTCTATCCCGACGCAGTTTAAATGTTCGTAGTGAATTAGTAGCGGTATTAGCGTATTTCCCACCCCGCATCCGATTTCGAGTACAAGCTTCTTCTCCTTGCTATGCCCCACTTGTGTTGCGCCTTCCCCACCGTCTTGTATGGCATCCCCAGTCTGCTCCTCATTTATGGATGTCTCTCCCCTGAAAATGTGATCGAATTCAATCCTTATCCACTTCCTATCTTTAAAAAAATTAGTTTTGTAAAGATGGTAAAACTTATCCCAGTTCTTTTTCGTCTCACTTATCAGTTTCTCCTTCTGGCAGTCCCGCAAAACGCGCCGATTGCTTTCAATAATTTTCTTCTCATTTTGTACTGCTTCTTCCGAAAGGGTAAAATTTACTACAATGTCCGAATCGAAAAAGGGTCTCATATTTCTTGATTTGCAAATTTCGAGGGGCACACAAAATGAACACAGCTAGCAAACGGGAGAAAAAAAAAAAAAAAAAAAAAAAAAAAACACCTGACTTGTTCATACAAATTGGTGCCAATTTTGTTCAGTTGTGCAGTTTTTTTTTTTTTTTTTTTTTTTTAATATAGCTAGCCATACTGTCAAAGTGGTGCTAATGCCCCATTACAAGTTTGACGCAGAGTTCACAATAATTTAATGTCCTTTTGTGAGTTTTCTCCCCCACAGAAGGGTTGTAAAAAGGGCTAAGCCGAACGAATTTTATAACCTATGCGTATTCACCTTTTCAGACGTTTCGTGTCCCCTAATTTGCAACAAAAACGGATTGTCCTCCTCTCTGCACAGGTTGTTAATTGGGCTAACACATTTGTCAATGTCGATATGAGATTCTCTTCCACAGCAAGCACTTTTTTTACAAATACTGTCGCGGTTAGGTTCATGAAGACAGTTGCGGATTGATCAGTTCCTTCCAACTACGACTACCCCTGAGGGACCTCTATTATTTATAAGAGTAAACCTTCACGTAAACGATATTATCTGACAGATCCTCTGCTTCTGTTCCCGTTAGCAATATTAAGATGACGTGTTTCTTCACGCTACGTGATACCCTCAATATGCGAATGAGGTCCCTAATCACATGGTCCCTACGCACCACATACACAGCGTAAACCGCGTGAGTATATTGTTCACCATCTAGGTAAAGTAAAAAATGTGCTCCATAAATATCTCCCTCTTTGACGATGTAACCTGCCTTCTCGAAATGGCTGGCATATTTTAGCAGCGATTTGTCTTGCCCTTCATCATCGCTACATAGGTGGCTAGTTGTTCCTACGTGCGTGTTGCTACCATTTGGTCTCCCATGTGCAAAATTCGTTCCCCTCCCCTCACAGTGAAACTGCCAAAGGTTCAGAAACTCAACCTGAGTGTCACTGTCGTAAAGGAAACCATCGCAGCTGCACTTGTTCGAATTTTTTTCCACCGTGTCGATGACGTAATCGTCTGCATTCCCCTCGTCGACCTCCAATTCGTAGTGCTCCTTTTTATACGCATAAATGATTTTCATTGCGCCGTGGAGAATTTTTCTGCCCTTCTCTCATGAGCACCACGTTTGGGCAAGGTACCAAATGGACCCGTTTGTAATTTTTGCAAAAATTATACATACGCTGTGTTTAAACAAAAGTTCTGCCTATCTGTGGCGTTTTTTTTTTTTTTTTTTTTTTTTTTCCTCTCCCCATGCGCGTAGCGTGACGCTAAGTGTTACCTTAACGTTCGCGAGGGGCACAAGAGCAGGCACACACAAAAAAATAGAATAAAAAAAAATGTGCAAACAAAAATGGGTTAAAAGGAAAAAATACCAAGTAAGCAGCCTAAAATAAGCGCTTAGCACACATGCATACAAATTGGAGTATTCAAAAAATTATCGCGTAACTCCCCCCAAAAAAAAAGAAAACAAAAACGCATTAACAACATGTACAGGTTAGGGGATTCTCCCTGAGGTGACACGAAAAAAAAAAAAAATGCTTCTTCACCGCTTTTCCTTTTTGGCGGCCAATATGTTACCCTATCTCAAGCGCGGCGCACAGAACCGATGGGGAGCACCGCCAACACCCTTAAGGACACAATACCCATCCACATGTTTGTACGTATTTGCATACATGTTATCGATTTTGCGTATTTGGGACAAGACATTCTTTTTTAAGTTAAGCAAAGCACTGTACCTTCGCTGAAGAACGACAGCTCTGCTTTTGAGTTTTTTCTTTTCCGCCTTGAGCACATAGGTAGTGGTAGTGTCTTCCTTTTCGTTATAAAGTTCGTGAGAGTTGTTAAAAAGATATCTCAGGGGGACATTTATGTTATAATTTTCTAACACTTTATTTATTTTTTTTAATTTTCTGTATAATGCATTTGTTTGCTCCTTGAAATCACCCCTCTTGTTTTTTAATACCACGTCTGTCTTCTGTACCTTCTCCTCTTTTTTTAATTCATGCGTTTCATCTGTTATTCTTGAGTGAACCATACCTGTGTGGAACTCATCCGGGTTCCTATTCATAATTTTTTCCTTCAATACATTTTCTATTTTTTTTTTTTTTTTATATATTTCTCTCCTTTTTCCATAGTCCACTTTTTTTTCCAGCTCCCCCAGGTGTAGCCTTTCTTTGGCTTGCCCTCTTTCCTGGTAGCTCCGCTTCGGAATTACATTTTTGTAGCTCGACATTTTTGTTTTTCTTCTCTCTTCTGTGATGTGGGTCACGCTTCAAGTTCAATAGTGATGCGTACTCTTATTTGTGCGCGTTTTCCGCGTGGCCGCAGAGCGCTCCAAGGTTTGCCTGTTCAAAATGAGCAGCTGAAATGGGAAAAGCTCTCTGCCTGTTGACAGGGGGCAAAAACAACCTGGCTTCCTCCCAATTACTGCCGTATTTTTTAGGCGAAGGCTAAAATGGTTAATCTGACGTGCGGCGTGTTTCTGTCGAAGCGATCATTTGGATGTTGTTCTTCCAATGCATCTCTCTCCTTTTTGCATTCCCCCTTTTGCGAAACAGCTTACGCGTGAGTACAATACTCTATACGTACAAAAATCCCTGTCACTGGAGTTGGGTCCCCTTTTCTAACCACTTCAATGTTCGCGTAATGCCCTAACGCAAAAAAATTCAAGTGATGCGAAAAAGTTTGAACAAAAATTTACCACGTCCTGGAGGGCTTTCTATGTACCATTTAAAAAAGGAGTGGATAATTCGTTCCTTATGCACGGATTTGAAGTTAAGCCTTGGGCGATCGCAAAAAAAAAAAAAAAACAAAAAAAAAAAATGCAACCGTAAAAAAAAAGGGCGTTACCTGTATATGATAACATATGATATTCATGTTTTTTTTTTTTTTTTGCCCCACATGTTTATCGCACCTTTTTTAAAGAAGAAAACAAAAAAAAAAATTTTTAATTCGGCTAAGTTGACATTCCCTATTTTGTATTCCTTTTTTTTTTTTTTGCAATGTTTTTTCTCCATTCTCCTATGTATCATTTGTAAGAGAACAAATAATTATCCCGCCAACAGAGTTCTGCTGAGGACTGCGCCGTGGCGAACAATTATTCGTATCGCTTAACCACTTGAAGGACGACGTGGTATTTCAAAACAAATAATTTTTACGCGCTCCCATAGAAGGAGAGATCTGCTAGGGTGTGATAGGAGAGGGATGCATCAAATATGATCACATCACCCATTTCAGCATTCGAGCAAAAGGAAAGAACAACGCATGGTTGTTGCCTTGCGGTATAACGTGCAACACGGTTTAAGAGATACACTTTAGTTTAACGCGTAGGCTCAGACACACATCAGTGGGTAAGGCAACCTCGACAAAGGTTCCTCAAATGGAAGAAAAAAAAAAAAAAAAAAATTCACATGATTTTGCGATCGTATATTTTATGGGAGCACCCAACACGTGGCAGACACTTAAAACTGTCCTTTTCTTAGGAGAGGTGTTTCCGGGGCTTATCTCATTGACCATTTTTTTGTGTCCCCCCACCAAGAAAAAAATGAAGGGGAATTTTCTCCCATTTTTCCCCCTGTTTTTGTCGCACAATTTTTTTGTTAGTCAGTCCAGTTGGTCGCATTACACCTCATCTCGCTGAGCATGTCGAGTGTGCGTGATGGCAGCTTCACTTTCACCTGCAATTTTAGTGGCCAATTGGGGCACCACCTTAAGCGGCAACTTGATTGGCAACTTGAGTGGCTATGTTGGCCGCCCCGCCGCGCGATAAGTCCGGGTCCAGGAAGACCGCCTGCGTCTCGATGCCGGCCAAGTTCACGCCCCGCTGAAACTTGATGTACCCCTTGTAGCCCCACGACGTTCCCCAAGTATTTCTGACCAACCAGTACTTAACGAGGTTGCCTCCCTCCTGTTCTTGTTCCTCCCCCCAACCAACAATGGTCACCGCATGGTTGGTCTGTTGCCATCCGTTGAAACCCTCATTTGGCACATCACAAACTTTGTTCTCATGCGTAGCGGTGTCATATATACCATTTTGCTTCCCTAATTTGTACAAGCCAAGTAATTGCGAGGTGGCATTTATTGCAACTACGATGGGTCCATTTAAATAAATTTCATTCATCATGTCATATTCGCTGGAGCATTCATAACACCCACTTACATAATTATATTCAGCTGCAAAAAAAACATCCTCCTCTGTATACCCTGCAGAGGTCACATTATTATAAGAACCCATGCTCATTTCACACTTGATCAAGTCACTATTACCGTAACGAAAAGAATTTTCTGTCGGCGTACCAAACTCATAAAGTTGCTTCCCTACGAGAAAAGGAAACCCGCCGTCACACCCCTGGTTGTATGGGGAACAACTGAGGATGGACTGGTAAGACAATTTTGGCATGGGAATTTTTTTTTTGTATTTTTTTAAAAACGAAATTTCAAATCTTTTATGAAGACTGTACACAGTCGCAATGGAGTAACAACTTCCACAATTCATTTGATCCTCCACGTCGTCTTCAAACATATCATCACTGAATGGATCCCCCCAGGTGAACGCCTTCGGGAGGGTCAAGCGCATCTTTACTTCCTCATTGTCCTCCTTGCGGCACCCGTAAATTTGTTCCCTCACGCGTTGGTATATGCTCACTTTGTGGGGAGGGAGAAAAACGGTGAAGTAATATAAAGGGCGTGCAAAAAATGGTTGGCATGTGGTACAAATCGGTTCATCAACGCGGCCACTTCAAAATGCCGCCTCCCATCCGACACGTTGCAACCACGGCCAATTAAAAGTAAAGACTTACTCAAGCTGGTCTTCGGGACCCCGTATGGACTCCCTGTGGAGAGTCTTATCTTCGTATAATTCGACCTCTGCTTAATGGCAGCAAAACTCTGTTGGTTTTTTGGCGGTAAAGGCTTCCCTTCCCTAATGTTATAAAAAAAAAAAAAAAAAAAAAAAAAGTTTATTTCGTGCAGAAAGTCAAAATTGCATTTTAGCTAGCTACACACACGGACCGGGAAAAAAAATTCCTATAAGTGGAAGAAGCGATAGCCTCCCCACCATATCGCAAAGGAGGAGACATGTTCAGAATTGCTCTTAACATTGTTACTTTAAGAAGTACAAACATTGTGATGCGTTGATGCATCATGGATTCCAAGTTGAGGTACTGCCCGTGCCTCTCTTTCCTTACCGTTCCTCTGTACCACCCCGACTTTTATCCCCAGCGTGAATGACGAAGGAGGAGACACCTACATCCTCCTGCTTCCTTCCATAGAAGCATCCCCACTGAAATACTTTTTTCTCTGTCTCATTCTCATGAACCCGTTCATGTAGAACCCATCCAATCAACGTCCTTGTAGGATCTGTAATATAGCAGTTGCTATTGGTAGAGTCCTGTTCTGCAAAGAAGGCGAATGGAGAAAACACATGAAAGGGTGCTCTTATGAGTTCCTCGTGAATAGAGGTGATGGGCGAGGGCACAAGCATATGAAACTCGCATGTGTGCTGTCCTACTTTCTATCGAATCAGGACACTTTTTCGAGTTGATTCGTTCATATTTGAATAAAGCTACAGGGAGGGTATAAATTGAGAAGCGGTGAGGAAGTCCATTTGTTCTGCTCTGCATATGGTACAAACTAACGCGTGGGAGAAAATTACGAACAGGCCACAGATACACCCTGCTCAGGCATTCCGTGGCTGTCCCCACAACCGTACCGAAGTACCGCCTCCCAGGGACCCTCACTTCGAACCCTTCGTCATAAACCATAGTCCTGTGTCAGGGGAAAAAAAAAAAAAAAAAAAAAAAGGGGGGGCAATTAAAGGAAGCGCTGCATAGATCGGCTTCTGAAGGGACATTATGACCCCGTAGCATCTCCCCCCTTACCAGTGCCCGATGATCCCATTAGTCTTCACATCCCTCACTGCCAAGTAGGTCCAATTATTCCTCTGATTCATTTTGTCCGACAATTTAATTTTCTCCGTGGTTAGCTTAATTGATGTGGTTTCCAGCCCTCCGTAATTGTTTTGCAAAAAAGTTTCATAGTTTTTTAATTCTGAATGGAAAGGGGAGAAGACAATCGGGCAGCGTCATGTCATTGGGTCTACGTTAGTGTGCGACAGAGCGACAGAGCCTCAACCCCAGATGAGTCGTAACGGACACATTCACTCGTGCGCTGGTCTCTGTCCCCATGCCTGCGTGTGCGCGCTCTCTTTAATGAAAAACCCACGTGGATCCAAATTCTGGCCATTTCTGTTCGGAATCCCTCCCCCGCAGTTCTCCGGCTTGTCACTCAGTTCCTCCGTCTGGCTGATGTGCCAAATACCCGCCACGTCTCCCTGCAGTGAGCAAGGTGAAGAATTTTGCTTCACACACATTTGACACTCCAACGGGGCGTTCTCTCTCCATCGATAGAGCAAACTGCCATACACACATATGTATGTACACGTTGTCACATGAGGAGTGCTCCTCCCCCTTGAGCGACTCACCATCAGAGCGTGTATGGGAAGATCCCCCTTCACATTGCGTACCAACAAAACAAGAAACAAAAGTGCCAATTGATATTTCATGGGGGACACTTTAAAAAAAAAAAAAAAAAAGACACTGGGTCATGCGGTAACACAAGGATGTCTTTGTTGAAGAGGAGCGGGGTCAGCAACAGCACTTGCAGTGACGTCCACAACTACCTCTACCTCTACTGCAACCTGCCCGTGTGAGGCAAATTAATATGGTGCACCTTTTATGATGTCGCTCCGGGATGCCTGCGTACATGCCCATGTACGTCGAGCCCAAGATGTTTCCCCCACAGAAGAAGAGAAAATGAACAAATTTGAGAATGTTAAAAAAGGGAGAAAAAGTGATATGCAGGAGAAGCAGGCGGAAGGAAAGACAGCGAAAAAAAAAAAAAAAAAAAGGAAAATACCCCCTCCCTAAGTTATATTTTAACAACTTGCCCCGTTCGAGTCACAAAACAGTGACCTCTTCATTCACCAAAAAAAAGTATAAAATTAAAAAAAAAAAAAATATATCGTGTCCATTTAGACGTCGCACATGGTCTCAGTGAATGGCTAATCAGTGGACAGATCATTCTTTACATATTATTACACAGCGAGGAAGTAGAAGCAATGTCCTCAAAAGTGACGACTGAAGCGAGAGATAATTTAATCAGTTGACAAGGCATGGGACTGATTAAAAGCAATGCATCTTCTCCTCTTCCTCCATCTGGAAGAAGCTACGTAGTTCCTCTTTTCCCTACGTGCGATACGCGACCGCCTCGTGTAATTACACATAAAAAAAAAAGAAAAAAAAAAAAAAAATTGTTCAAAGTAGGTCCCTTTTAAAAACAATTGTGTCCTTGTCATTTTTGCCCCCCTACACATGACATGACGTTAAATTAATGAGAATATGAAAAAAGGAAAAAGTGAAGCCAAAGAGGTAAACGTCGTCAAACGCCGCATGTTCATATATTTTTTTTTTTTTTTCCCCTTCCGTGGTGAGACGCAGACAAACGGGTAGACAAGCGACGCAGTTCTTTTGTTCGCCCTCCCGTACACACACACATACACCAGGTAGGTTAAAATGCCAACTCTCGAAAGTGTGGTAACCCCTCTTTAACAAGGCTAAGTATAAAAAGGATTGCAAAATATGCTTAAGAATACCGCCACGGCAGACACCCACGTCAGTCTAACGGGTTGCGGAAAAAGCGCATGTTCGTGGGGAACCTCCCGCAGGGCAAAAAAAAAAAAAAAAAAAGGAAAAGAAAACAAAGAAAGTAAGGTATGGATGGCCATGTGGCTATCCCCCTGCAGGGGATGAATGAAGATCTTTTTGCGTTGGGAGCTCCATCCCGTTTTGCCTCCCTTTCCACATTTTATCAACCCGCGCGCTGAACAGCATCATACGCGACATCATCCTCTGCACACACGAATTCACAAAAAAAAGGAAAAAAAGGAAAAAAAGGAAAAAAAAAAAAAACATGACAATTAAATCGAAACTTTTGTCGAAAAGTATGAACAACATTTCCTGTGTGGAAACTCCGCAGTGGATGCGAAGGGGGAGGGGAAGGGACACACTCAACCCAACTTTGCAAAAATAATTTACACTCCTGTTCCCGTGCAAAACGCGCAAAGGTGTCTTTTTCATGTGGACCCCCTCGTCCCATTCGCGGAATAATTTCCTATCCTACAGAAACATATTCGAGTGTGTGTATAAAAATCTCCCAACAGGGTTGGTAATTTTTTTTTTTTTTTTTTTTTTTTCCCAAGTGAGATGTTGAAAAATTCGCTGTCTGAATTACAAAATGGGACAGAACAAATTGCTACTGCGTGTAACTGCGTAGAGGGGGGTAGGGGGATTTCGTTTGTTCGATAAATTCTACAGGGTTCCGTGAACGGGTCAACAGGGGCGTGTTTTTTTCCCCGTTGCGTGCACGTCCCCCCCACGTGTGCGCATTTTGCTTGACAACTAATCGCAGAATTTCCTTCCCGCCACAAATGAGAACGCGCGGATGCATCTCTCAGTGGCAACTCTCACAGTGACGCTCGTGGAAGCAATGTGTGTGAAGCCGAAACTTACCACTCGCAAAATTAAACATTTCTCCTACCCACCTGTTTCGCTAAAATTTACTCCGCGCAATAGACCGATGGACACTTCGGCAAAAACCTTTAAACCACTCCGATTAAAAAAAAAAAAAAAAAAAAAAGACAAAAAGGGGAAATGAATGAGCTATATTCTTTACAAAGACAGATGAACGAAAAAATGACGCAGATTGGAAGCCCCCAGAAAGACCCACGCCGCAACACAGTGATTAGACCCCTGTTGAAAATTCCACAAGGGGTGAAAGACAAAAGGGGATGCGTGTCAATCTTGGTAAGCAGCAAAAATATGAATATTCAAAAAAAAAATGAAGATGGGGAAAAAAAAATCGGCCATTTGGAACACTCCGAAGAACAAGTAGTAGTACCCCCCCGGGACGAGCGCGAAAAGTACAACGAATTCTTCGAGGCCAAAATCTACTTGCCTCCACTTCGAGCCAGCAAAAGAGAATTAAATTTTTTTTTCAAAATTTTGTCAAATGCAATTGAAAAAAATAACACAAGCAATATCTACATAAGTCTAATGAATATCCTGTGCAAAAACTTCCCGTCCTACATCGGGCTATTTGCACACTTGTGGTTTCAATGCAAAGTGCTACTGGCCGAGAAATTAATTTTAATTGAATTTTTCAGGCAGCTTAAAATAAACTCAGAAATAATCAACCATTTTTTTAATTACGGTTGTGATGCGTTCGAAACGATATTGTCAATAACGCCACAGGAATTGACAAACATTCAGGAGTTTAATAAAGTCACCTGGCTTCCGGGACATACGTTTCGCTTAAAAATGATTTTCTCTCAAGTGGACAAATATTTTAATTTGTTCATGCAACAGAACGATGATTATGTGCAGAAAATTAAAAAATTTATTTTAAGCAAAAGGAAAAAAACGGAACTAACTGTGCAATTGTCCCTTGACCAGCAACAGAACGACCGCGGCAAGTGCAGCATGTACCGACCACACGTGGGGAATAACATCAACCCGCAACTTCTCCGCGATGGGAGCCAAGATAACAACATATTTACCTACCAACCATATGTGTCACAAAGTTTGAGAAGCAGAAATTTTTCATATAACTATACTCCAGATAATTCATTATATGCGAATAGAATACTTGTAAAAAATTATTCCTGCTCTCCCTACCCTGTGTTGCGGAGCCTTCAGGATTTTTTTTCCTTCCGTTGTTAAAGTTGGACTTTCTTGGTACGGGCTCCACAAGGGGGGTAACCCCACAGTTTGTATTTTTCCCCCATCCGCAGTAGGCACTACATGTGTGCAGCGCCATTGATGCACATTTGCGTCTACACGTGAAGGGTGTGCATAGGGCGGAAAGGTCCATAAAAATACCCCCTCCCTACGTCGTTCCACTCGATTTAAAAGCGGCGCACCCCCTCCCTTACATACCCTTGGCAGTGCGGATGCATAGCCAAATGGCTGTTTTTTTTTTTTTTTTTTTTTTTTTTTTCACCATGTTGCCTGACCTGGTCATACAATTTTGACGTCCCCCGCCTGTCTACACACATGTGCCCATTTGGGGACCCATACCCCCCGCATGGACACATACACCGCACGTTTCGAACATGTTTTATCAGTCTGTGCTTTTCCTCACTTATGTTGTACTCCCTGTTGGCCTATTCCATGTGCTTCTCTTTTTCCACCTCCCGCAACTGCTCCCCCCTTCATCATGCTACCAACTCTCGAGTCCGGCCAGTGACTCCCCGGGCAAACTCTTTCACCTGAACAAATTCGAAAATTATGAACAGGTCAGAAAAAAAAACTTGCCTTTTACTCTAAATTTAAAATGTGTGCAAGGGGCAAGAGCAAATAAAACAACGGAGCCACCCCGGGCGGGTAAACCAAAAGTGTCCATTCTGATTACCTCTCCGGAGGGCGCCAAAATTTACAGATTTGTAGCCATACTGCTCATCTACAATTTGATAAAAAGAAAAGCGGAAGAAGAGTTCATATTTGAGAAAAGTCCCCACGTGAATAATGATGCAGTAAAAGAAGTCCTGAACTTTCCCATCATATCCATCGGCAAATCCTGCAACGCTGTCCTCAACAATGATGGCACAAGAAGGGACCTCTACGACATGTTCCCGAGTATAGTAAAAGAATTCCCAAAATGTAAAATAAATCAGCAGGAGTTCCACCAACTTAACAAAACTGTGAACACTTTGAACATCGTCTTCACCCCCAGCAAGGCCAATTCGGTAACCCTGCACAGGGAATTAACGGCCAATTTGGTAAAGCACAAAGGGGAGGGGACCCTCAACATAGATAACATTATCTGGGTTGCCTCATCCATTAGCCAATCCAATTTTAACAATAAAAAAAAAAGTGATGTCACCCCGTTGGGAAGGAAAGATGAAAAAGGAGGAGAAGAAGAAGGGGCCCGCTTAACCATCACAAGAATCAAGTGCTATGACACCAAAAAAGTTACATATAATAAAAACGAAATGGAGATCGGCAAAAAGTCCATTATATGCCTTATGAGCAACAGCACGGTGGCTTCCTTTTTCCAAAATTTTGGAAACGATTTTGCCGCCACCCTCTGCATGGGAAGAAATTCATACACGCTCGCAAAAAAACTAAATTTTAAACGTGTCCATTATCCGGAAGACTCAAAAATGGAGTCCTTTCTGATCATGTTAATAAAATTGTACAACGAATTACGAGATAGATTCGGCACAAAGTACGATGTTGTGCTGACGCGGGAGAAAGGCAAAAATGACTGCTTGGCGAGAGCCCTCACTGCGCAGCGGATTCCCTACCGAGTTGTGCCATGCATAACAACGCACTACAACGGCGAAGGGATTCGCTTGCTGTACTCCATCCTCTCATCGCAGGTGTAAAAAAAAAAAAGAAGCGCCGAAATAATACTCACCGAGGAGGATGGGAAGACGGAATTACACAACGCCCCCCTTTTTTTACAAAATCATTACACAAACGCATAAATGCACGCACACATAAATATACGCACGGGACGGCACACGCAGACAGGCACACTCAAATGGAACACTTCTGGAACTCCTCCAGGAGCTCCGAAAATTTGTCATTTTTGTCCGACGCAATGAATTTGCCGGATGGGTCATACGGGGCCCCAGCAAAAACATCCACGCTCGTGTTGAAAGAAACGTTCACTTCCTTTCCAAAACTGACTCCCTCATAGATTGGAAAAAAACTTTCCACATGTTCTAAATCGTCGTAATTGTTTATGCTATAGAGCGTGTCATTTGTGACGTCGCCGCTGTTTCTTGTGAGGTTTATTTCTTCCAAGCTGCCTGTGTATGTAAAGGGCTCATTATTGGTTGCGTCTTTAAAAAAAGGGACATGCTTAAAATGGGCTAGATCTTTTTCGAATAGGTCATACTGGGTTCCTTCTGAGTGTCCATCCTGAGCTGGATTATCTTTTGGCGCCACGGGCCATGGGTCTTCCTTGGAGGCACTCCAGGGGTCGAAGAATTCGTTGAAGTCGGTTTGGCCTGGACTGGGGTTCGCCTGGCGGTCTGCCTTGGGCTCTGCCTGGAGGCCTCCGTTTAAGTTGGCCATTTGATTGGCGTCTTTCTTCTTTGCAACCGAATCAGCAATCGCATCTTTACACTTGTTGCCTTCCTCGCCTCCGCTTCCAAACCCAATGTCGAAGCCAAATGTGTTCATGTCGCTATCCAGAGTGATGTCCTTCATGATGTTGTTCTCCCAGCTGGTGTCTTGGACGGCGTCCCCGTTCAGGTTGAGAAAATCTGCGTTCATCTCGTTTTGAGTGGCGCTAGCAAGGTTGGTCACACTCTCGGCACTTCCGATGCTGATCAGGTGGGCTTCCTTGTTGGTGCTATCCGGTGGAGCGGCGGCATTGTCCGGTTGAGTAGTGGCATTATCCTGTTCAGCGGCGGCATTGTCCGGCTGAGTAACAGCACTATCCGGTTGGGCCGCAGCAGCATTATCCGCTTGCGCCGCCGCAGCATTATCCGGCTGAGCAGCACCATCCACCTGCGGCTTCCTCCTGAAGAGATCCTGCGCCAGGGCGTTGGGGGCGAAAAACTTGAAGAACGGCCTGCGGACAACACTCTTGGGCACCTGCGTCTCGTACTTGTGCGACGAAATCTTCACATCCAAAATACGGTCGTTACTAATTTCAATCATCTCGTTCTTCTTGTTGTTCAAATTCAGTTCATTAATTTTATCAAAAATTTGATTCACCATCTTTTTAATATCACTAGGGATATGCATAAACCAAAGTTTCAAGTCCCCGTAATTTTCCAAAATGAACAACAGCGTCGTAGAGTCTAGCCGTTTCTGTGGGTTCTTATTTAAAGTCATAAGCAAAATGGATATTATTTTTTTTGAATACTTGGAATGGTAAGGAATGGTAAAGCTTCCATTAATTATGGAGAGTAAGCTGTTTTGTTCATTTTGAAATGGATGCACTTTAAAAAGGAGCAAATACAAAATACACCCAACCATCCACAAGTCTACTTTAGAAGAAATTTCCCTATTTGCATACAAGTCAATTAATTCGGGAGGTCTATATATAAATGTTGTATCTCTTTCAATCTCCTCTTTCAATATGTTTAGTGAATTTTTGGTCATATCATTTGGGAAAAAAGAATTGGATACACTATGTGAACAAAAGTCACAAATTTTATACACTCCATTTTTATCACATAAAATATTCTCCAATTTTATATCCCTATGTATAATTGGAACTTCCTGAGTGTGTAAAAAATTTAACCCTTTAACTATATCCTTAAGAATTTTCACTATATGATTTTCTTTTATTTTTTCCTTGTTCTTTTCAAATATATTTAACAAATTTCCTCTCTCACAAAACTCCATCAGCATAATCACTATCTTGTGGCTGTTCTCACTTATTATAGTGGATCCAAAATATTGTACAATATTTTTATGGGGGGGTAAACTTTTAAGGATATGAATTTCTTTCTTTGCCATTTCGAGCTTTTCTTTGTCTTGGCAAATTGTCTTCTTTATTGTATATGCTTTGTTTGTATTTAAATCTTTGGCTAAATAAACAAATGAGTACGCTCCTTCCGACAGCAACTTTTCCTCCCTTATCGTTTTCCCGTTTATATTGTACACCTTCCCCCCGATCAACGTCGTGCAAATACTCCTTAGCTTAAGCATTTTTTCCCTGCTCTATATATTTCTTCTGCTGCTATTACTTATTTGCGCACGGGGTCATTACACACGCACACACAAGTGCTACTTCAGTACGTGTGCAAACATGTCACGTTGGCAAATCAGCACAACGGGGGGGAAAGTTGCAAAACCACTGCCAAATAGGAAAAAAAAGAGGGGGGGGGGGGCGGCGCAAAGACACACTTCACAATGGGCAATATTAATCACTCTTTAAAAAAAAAAAACAGCGGCAAATTATTTCATCAGTTCATGCGCAACAGGACATTTGGTTGCTTAAAAAGGGAAGGCAACACATATGAGTGACGTAAAAAAAGAAAAAAAGAAAAAGGCAAATAAATTAAAACACATGAACAGCCGCGGCATCCAGAGTGAAGTGTACCAAACACAAAAAAAAAAAAACGACGATTTTAAAAAAAGGTGGACTCAGACAAAAACAAACGCTAAAAAATGTATATAAAAAAAAAAAGGCCAGTTCTGTCTGTTGCTATCCTGCGATGCGCAAGTGGAGGCCATTCAGACATGTTAAAAAAAAAAAAAAAAAAAAAAAATACATGCACATATACATATAAATATACATACACATGTACACATACACATACACATCGCCACGTTTGCATCCCTCTCGATTTCCACTCACGTGTGCCGAAAAAATGATTCGCAAACTGGGCCAGCCATTTTGCGAGGTGCTCCCTTCCAAGTTGCAGCCGCGAGCACGTGTGTTAGTGCATACGCATGTACATCTGCTTGTGCCCTTCTGCAACTGACAGAGGTAAAATTCACAGCCAGGACAATCAACTAACACCCGCGTTGTTCTTCCAGCCTCCCCCAACGCGTTGCATGACCGCTGGCGCGAGAGTTAAAAGGCAGAGTCAGCAGACATCCTCGCGTATTCCATGCGCCCCGTACGCACGTATGCATGTACATATCCCCGCACTTATGTGTGTAGATATGCATATATACATACACATACATGCGCACACACATGGATAGTAACTCATTCGCAAATTTCTCGTCTGTCTTACTTCTCACACTCCATTTATACACATGCATGTGCACACAAGTTAAAAGAACACAGCGTTGACGAGTCCTTTTCTGCATGAACACTTCCAAACTGAAAAAAAAAATAAAAAATAAAAAAAAAAAAAAAAAAGCATGCACGCTAATTGTAAGCATATAAACATTTCCTTAGGTCTGAATCCACACATTAACACAAAAATGCAGTTGCCATTTTAGACATACGCACACGAGCGCGTGAGTATGGGGGGTATTTTTATCATGTACATACACACGTACTTTATGCACACGTGCACGGGCGGGGAGCGGCGGAATAACACACGGAGGATTAACGCGGCGGTAAAAGCCAATGCGGGAAAGATCACGCGGACGGAACGCTCAACTGGACATGAACACACAAACGGGAAAAAAAAAGCAAAACGGCAAAAACACGCAAAAGCATGCAAACAAAAGGAGGACAACGAAAACGAGCAGAAACACCAAAAAAGCATCCATTTGAAGCATATGCTACAAAAATATGTTCGGCCAATTTTTTGTGGGCAAAAGGGGAAGAATACCAAACTGGGGGGGTGCCTGTGCAACAACCCAGTTGTATAGTGGTCACACGCCATGTGCCTGTTTGGCGTAGTTCTTCCTTCTGCGCATTTGTAAAGGTCTTCAGTTTTGGTCGGTGCGACGCGGGTAATGCAGAGGGGACCTTACCAAACTGATCTTGTGTATATGGAAGGGTGCTTGAACACGCTTACGCATCAGCTCAGGTATATATGCATAACTTATGTGTACATATAGCTATTACGTGACCACGTATGTATACTTTTGGCTGGTTTACCCACCTGCATACTCATCAGTAACGGTCACAACTACTCCTGTTTATTGCCCACCTTTGTGTGTGCCCTTCCGTGACATCCGAAATGGCACATGTAACAAGTAGGGGCTGTAGCATTAAGAGGGGCACTTCTCAGAGAAGAAAATGCCCACGTGAAATTATAACCCATCAAAGGTGAAGCAACAAAAAAAAGGGAGCAACTGTCCCCGCACAACGCTGCTGTCGTTTATGAAACGAGCGAGTAAAAACTTTGGCGTATGTTTTTTCGTTCGAATGGGTGCCTCTACAGCTGTTATATGACTTCAAAACGTGAGTGATTCGTATACTAAGCCATCTACTGCTGACTGGCTTGCATTCGAACGTTTGCCTTTGTACATTTTTTCTTCTACAATGTTGATACTGTTGTTAAGGTTTAATGTCAAACAAGGTGTTTTTTTTTTTTTTTTTATTAATATACCTTACATGTTCAGGCGATTTTTAGCTTTTTTTTTTTTTTTTTTTTTTTTTTAAAATACCTTTCATTTTTAGGGGTTTTTTTTTTTTTTTTTTTTTTTTTTTTTTTTTTTGCCAAAATGTTCTTACCTGTTCATATTTTTATCCGTTAAGCAAATACACGTAAAGTTGGCCAAATGTAGGGAGGTTAATACCCAGCTAGCTATGTAACAAAATTTGCGTCATTTCAGTGGTGCCTTAAGGGATGCTGGGGCAACTTCCCCCCGTGTGTGCACATGTGAATGCCCGTTGTAAGAGGGTTGTAATGGTAACATGTGTTACACGTGAGCATGCGTTGTGTTGAAAGTGAATGTACGGTGCGCTGGAGGTTGGTGTGCGGTATGCTAAAGGTGAGTATGATATAACGTTTTCATTTGCGCGGCGGGTCCGTGGAGACGTGAGGCCAGCACCCCAATTGCATAAGCTCTACGCGCCCATCCGCTGGGAACTTCTTTTGGCTACCCATACCCCACCTGACTTGTTCATAATATTCTGCGAAAAAATTGCGAACAACGCTGTTAGCACTTGTTGTTGACGTTTCTTTTTGTACTTTTGAAAACTCCCCCTACTTAACTTGCCATCTGTAACCCCCGGATTGTGTAAAATAAAAATAAGTTAAAGCGAGGGGGGAGATTATCTCCCCGTTCACAATGTGCTAACGGTTGTCCTGTTGTTAACTGATCCACCGCCGCTGAAGGCTTGTCTACCGCCCACCATGTTACGCCAGCGGAGAGAAGCACACGATGAGTCCCCTGCCTCCCAAAACGCGTCAAATAAGACCCGCGTCGAGGGATGAAAAGGATGAACACACTCGGTAACCCTTATTGAGGGAGCCGCTAACCTCGTCGATATCCTATCCCGAAAACGCACGATGGGTTAAAAAGAAGTATAATCAATTGTTACAGTGGCGAAAAGTCGACATGGTAAATTATTTTTTATTTTCATTTAAAATGTGCCACACATAAGTGAGCCGTACAAAAAATGGGCAAATATTCCACTAAAAAGTGTGCATACGGAGTTCCTCCCTGGTGTATGACAAAAGGGGGGATATGCACATGTTTATATGGTAACATCATCCCACGGTCGCAGGGTAAAATTCACCCCATGGAAAGAGGAACGCAAAAAAAAAAAAAAAAGAAAACACCAGGTCGAGGGTATAAGTGCAACATTGAACACACATGAGAGGGGCAGGTTCCCCTTTTTGTTAATTTTATTCCGCAGAAACTTCGCCTAGGAGTTCATTTGGCTGCTCCTGCCGTGGATATGTGGGCCCAGGGCGAGAAATGGCATCGACCTCAATCGACACGACAAGGATCTACATGGTGGCCGTCAAAGTGCTCGCCAAAATGCCCCTAAAAGGTGGATCGCCCCACCCCTATAAGTCATCACGGCCTGTAGAGAGACAAATACCATGGGAGGACGAAACGGGAGCGCTCGATTAAGCGAACTGGCCAGGACGCGCCCCCCCAACGTTCGTAACGTCACGCTGCGGACACGCGCCTTCATGCCAGAACACACCCGTTCAGTCAAAAGTGTCCCATCGACAGGTTGAGGAAATGATCTCCAGATGTTGGGCAACGCAAATTCATGCATAACCTACATATAGATGTTTATATAGGAAGTGAACATGCGCCTGCTCCATACACTGCACCAATTTCGCTTCCCTTTACATGCATTTTTGTTTTATTTATTTATTTTATTTTTTTTTTTTCACCAGGATAATTTAGCTCACATCAGTGCAGCGCTCCCGCCCCACGCCCCGAATTAGCTACTCAGCTTCCACATGAAGCATTAAAAACTTTCACATGTTTTTTTTACAAAACGGACTCTCCAAAAGTTTTTCTTTTCCTTTCATGCTTGCCATATTGATCATGGTATAATACATCGCTTCTTCAGAAAAAAACAAATACGCGCCCCCTCAGTGCACTTGTTGCGTGAAGGCATATATATAATTCCCCTAACCCAGTAACGACTTGACCCCTTTTTTATTTTCTCTAGCATTCTTTTCCTACCTTCGCGTACGTAACTTCTACCTCTGTGAAGAGAACCTTGTACTGTACATTGTGGTGAACACGCGTAACGCCGCTAATAGGGTTAACGCTACTAACAGAGTTAACGCCGCGAATAGGGCTATCGCCTCGAATAAGGTCAACAGCGCCTAACGACGATGGAGCAGGAGATCCACGAGAAAGTCCACCTGACGGAGGATGGCGGAGTGATCAAAACGATCCTCAGGAAAGGTCATGAAGGAGAAGAAAATGTCCCCAAGAAAGGAAACGAAGTGACGGTTCACTATGTTGGCAAGCTCGAAAGCAACGGGAAAGTGTTCGATTCATCGCTCGAACGAAATGTACCTTTCAAGTTTCACCTAGGACAAGGAGAAGTGATAAAAGGATGGGACATCTGTGTAGCGTCCATGAAGAAAAATGAAAAATGTTCAGTCCGCCTGGATAGCAAATATGGGTACGGAGAAGAAGGTTGTGGAGACAGCATCCCAGGAAACAGTGTGTTAATATTTGAAATAGAACTTATTAGCTTTAGGGAGGCTAAAAAAAGTATATACGATTATACCAATGAGGAGAAAATTCAAGCAGCATTCGATTTAAAAGAAGAAGGAAATGAATTTTTTAAAAAAAATGAAATTAACGAAGCTATTTCCAAGTACAAGGAAGCACTAGACTTTTTTATTCATTCAGAAGATTGGGATGGAGATTTATCTGAAAAAAAAAAAAATATTGAAATTAGTTGCAACCTAAATTTGTCTACCTGTTACAATAAGAATAAAGACTTCCCCAATGCCATCGCTCACGCCTCCAAGGTTCTTAAGATTGAAAAAAATAATGTGAAAGCGCTTTACAAATTGGGTGTTGCTAACATGCACTTTGGCTTTTTGGAAGTGGCTCGAGAAAACCTTTACAAAGCTGCTTCCCTAAGCCCCAACAACGTAGAAATACGAAACTCCTATGATGCCTGCCTTAACAAATTGAAGGAGGCCCGCAAAAGGGACAAACTCACCTTCGGGGGCATGTTCGACAAGGGCATTCTTTACGAGGAGAAGAAGAGCAGCGCCAAGTGAAGTGGCCGAGCGGTGAATAGGCGAAGCGGTGCGACAACAATTTCCGCGCCATGTCTGTTGAACGTTTTTACAGTGAACAAGTCAAACTGTGTGTGCAAATGAGTATGTGTAGGTAAATGCACGCACGCACAGCCCCCTGTATGAGGCGGATCCAAAAACTATGGAAAACTGCTGCTGCCTTAAAGTGAACAAATCTGCGCAGCTGTCCTGGGCAGAGAAATGGAAATAAATATCTCCACGTTATTGTATAGGCGCCGTTACATTTTGCCACAATTTTTTTTTACAAACATTTTTAATAAAGTTTTTTTTCTTTTTTTTTTAACAAACATGTGTCGTTGCTCGATCATGTTATTAACACGTTATCACGTTAACACGTTATCACGTTAACACGTTATCACGTTAACACGTTAACACGTTAACACGTTAACACGTTAACACCTCGCACCTGCTAGGTCCACGCGATGTACGTGCCAAACAGGGGAGGTCCAACAAAAAAATAAAACAAATTCACCAGGAGGACCATGTGCCACTTATCTGAGTACGTGAGTTGGTAGGCGTAGTGGGTGTAGAAAAGGGGGGAACTCGCGATGAGCCGCAGGATGATCTGCAAACAGGAGAGGGGGACAGGACAAATTGGTGAATTGGCCACGTTGTAATGTGACGTCATGATGAGGTATTCCATCGCGTGGCATTCAATAAAGCACGCTCATGGAGGGGGGAAGTAAAGGTGCGACTTGGACGCTCCGATTTGTTCCACTCTATCGCTTCGCTAATCGCGTCACTGATCGCTTCGCTTGTCGCTTTGCTCGTCGCTTTGCTCGTCGCTTTGCTCGTCGCTCCGCTCATCGCTGCGTGTTCTCACCTCTCCGTGGGCAAAAATCAACAGGTAGAAGGATAGAACCCCCAGGTGGAGAACCTCCCCAAGGAAGGGAGTAAACAGAAAAAAAAAAGCTTTATCCGGGTGCAATATCCGGTGCCGAAAAAAGTTATATACGGCATGAAAAGATACGAAATAAACAGGCAATGCGTAGAGCAGATTCACACTGGGGGAGTGGATCAATTTTAAAAATTGA